TTACTGCTAAGTGAGTCCATCCGCAAATGTGAAATAAAGTGATATCCAACGTGTTCCCTTTTATCATTCAAGGTTGAATGTAAAACAGAGACCCCAAAAGGAACTGTTATAACTAGCGGTCTGGGATTGTTTTCACCCCTTGCTTTGATGTTTATACGATCGCGCTCATGACGGTCGCAATATGGCTTTTCGAATATGACGTTGTCCTTGTTGATATCTTTGAGACTTGTGAGTTTCATATTTGTGAGTTTGTAATGACTTTGCTTTAGTTGCTTTGCAACTACCAAAGAGAAAAAAAATAAAAAAAAAAGTAAAAACAAGGGTAACACTTATCTTTTCAAATAAGTGCAACACCTGCTGTTTTACATCGTTAACACTTAACTTTTGAGATAAGTGCACCTTTCCTTTTTCGTTTCAAAAAAGGAAAAAAAGACCTTTGGTCTTAGTCTTCTTCAAGGTCTAGCTCTTCTTCGAGTTCATCTTCTTCAAGGACAGCCAATGGCTGCACCTGTGTCTGCGGCAACCGATGTATATATACATCATTTACTTTCAGCTGTACCGATGAGTACTCATCACTTATATAGATACTATCAACCACGATGCTCATCTTTACCTTACAGTAATCAAGACATTCTAGCGGCTCGACTTTTGTTTCTTCTTTTGAGTGAAAGAGGGTACGTATCTTACCAGACTTTCGACTGTACATAAGCCTTGGATATAGTACCGGTGCTTTCCCCTCTTTCTCAATAAGTGGAAACTTTATGCTCTCTGCCACGTCTATGCCATAAGCTTCGTCTAGATATTGATAGCAAATATGCTTCAACTCTTTCAATGCTTCATAGAAGGCAAATTCTTTCTGCGTTGGCTCGCCAGAACCGTCGGCTTTGTGGTTCCACAGAGGGGTGGGTAGTGTGTAGCCTACAACATCTCCACTCTTATTCAAGCTTGGCTGTACACCAAACGAGAATCGAAAAGGTGAAGCTATCACCAACGGCTCCGGCTTATTCTCACCAACCGTCCCGGCGTGTTTGATCTTGATGTTGATACGTTCGTGGCCATGTTGGTTAGGGACCGCCTCTTCAAAGATAACATTATCCCGCGTAATACTTTTGAGACTTGAGAGTTGCATGTTTGTAAATCTGTAATGTAATGTACTTTACTTTTCTTCGCTTTATATCTTTACAGAGAAAAAAAATCAAAAAAAAGAAAAAAGGGTAGCTCCATACCGACCAAAAAAATCAACACACATTTTCTATGATAGTAGTACAAAGGCTGAAGAACAAAGACTAAAGTATGGTTAACATACCAAAAATGACCACCACTCGTGGTGGGTACTCGAAAAAGAAGGGTTCCAGGCGTTGACTATCTCGACGAAGACTATAGAATGTTGATAGCTGGTCCTAGCGGTAGCGGAAAGACGAATTTGTTGTCCTATATGTTGAGGGCACCGCTTGTGCCATATGACGATATATATATCTATAGCCCCAACTTCCACCAAGAGTTGATACAAGACCTTGCGAAGGTCATGCATAAGCATTCGCAAAGACTGGGTTATCAGATTTTACATCTGATGGACCCAGCTCAGATCCCCGACACAACCGAATACCCTGCAGAGGGTCGAAAGGTTGTGATTTTCGATGACTTGATCACAGCACCAAAAGAGACCCAAAGCAAGATCCTCAAGCACTTCATCGATGGACGACACCATCAAATCTCACCGGTGTACCTCTCCCAGTCGTATCACAAGACACCTATGGATATCAGGCTTAATTGCTCTCACATGATTATATATTTACCACCGACACAGCGTCATCGAAAACTCATCGCCGATGAGAACTGCTTCGATGTTAGTGCTTTTTCAGCGTTGAGACCTTATGATTTCTTGTTTTGCGATAAGATAAAGGGCACCTGTGCACGAAATTTTGACGAAAAAATATAAAACATAATACTAATACAACTCGAAAATGAAAACTTACTGCGTGAAGCAAAAGAAGAAGACTGATAGCCAGCCAGGATCTGAAAGGCAAGAGGTTGCGAAAAAAGGTCGACCGATGATCAAATCGAAGTGTGCCGAGTGTGGCATCACCAAAGTTTCTTTCGTGAGCGGAGGAAAAAAAAAGGCGGGACGCTCTTTGAAGATGTAGGACGAACCAGCACGTCTTTGGGTGAGATGGCTGTGAAGGGGCTAGCGAACATGGCACAGCTAGGACTTGCGAACGCTGTCAAATCCGACTATGCGAAGAGCAAGTTCAAAAAGACGGCAAACAAGTATCTCGATCAGGCTCTCGATGCGTTTGTCAACGATATGAGTAAAAAGATAAGAGGAGGTGCATCTTCGATGTTGAACGCGTATGATGTAAATCAAATTGTGCCAATGTCGATGTATGCACCTGATGGGGTGAATGACCCGACTCACCCTCTTTACGAAGGTGGAGCCTTCGATATTCACAAAGCGATCGGTAAACTCCCGAGGCCGAAAAGAGGCTTTGTGATCCCGGGTATGAATTATGCGGGTCCGTATAACGATTTGGAGAGTCAACTGCGCTCCGATCCAAAGACTGGTGAGATTCTTGAGATCTATGAGCAGCCAACGGGTCCGAGTGACGCAGTCGCAATGCAACACGATGTTGATTATAGCGTCTGTGCAAACAAGGCAAACCCAAAGAAGTGTAAGAATGAGGCAGATCGTAAGATGGTGAAAGCGCTCGATGCGATACCGTACGATCAGAGGCAGTGGGGTCATTGGCTTGCGAGAAACGTTATTAACTCCAAACAGAAGCTAGGTCTAGGTCTGGGTGGAAAAAAAAAGTCGACACGCAAGGGTGGGAAGCGAGCCTAGCAGATGAGCTCCATAAACCCATCAGACGAAACTTCCCCAAACGACGTGTTATTGTAAACGGTATCGATGAGATTTGGTGCTCCGACTTAGTGGAGATGCAAAAGTTTGCAAAGTGGAATAAGGGTTATCGATATTTGTTGATGGTGTTAGACATTTTTAGCAAGTATGGCTGGATCGTACCTCTGAAGAATAAAAAGGGTGAGAGTGTGGCGGAGGGGTTCAAAAAGATATTTGCCGAGGGGCGGGTGCCGAAGAAAATGTGGACTGATAAAGGATCAGAGTACTACAACAGTCATGTCAAAGATCTATTCAAAGCAAAAGGTGTTGAGCTGTACTCGACAGAGAATGAAGAGAAATCGTCTGTGTGCGAGAGATGGAATAGAACGATCAAGACAAAAATGTGGAAGCAGTTTACCATCCAGAACAACACGGTGTACACCGAAGGTCTTTTGCCAAAGATTCTCGAGAAGTACAACAACACAAAACACACATCGATCGGTATGACACCTGTAGAGGCCTCCAAGAAAAAGAATGAGAGTGCCGTCTATTTGAAATTATACGGTGAAGACCTAAAAGGTCTGAAGACCTCTGGTCTGGATACCTACCCACCAAAGTTTGCGGTCGGCGATCACGTTCGAATCTCCAAATTCAAGCGGCAGCTTTTCGACAAGGGCTACACCCCAAATTGGTCTGAAGAGATCTTTGTTGTTGATGAGGTGCAATACACAGAGCCCATCACTTACAAGTTGAAAGATCTGCTTGGGGAAGAGATTAAAGGCACTTTCTACGAACAAGAGATGTTGAAGGCAAAGCAAAGCCTTTCAGGTCTTTTCCGCATTGAAAAGGTTATACGAAAAAAGGGCAAACAAGCTCTCGTGAAGTGGAGTGGTTATCCAGAAAAATTCAACTCGTGGGTTGATGTAAAAGATCTTCAGAAGTTATGAAAAATGAAAAAAAATGTCTTAAAGAAATATAAACGAAAGATAAGATTGCACCATGGATGAACTTGAAACATATACAAAGGCTGCACTTTTGGCAAAAGGAAAAGAGATGGGTTTGAAAGGTCTTCACAGACTGAATAAAAAAGACCTGATTGAAGTTATCAAAAATCCAACACAGCACATCACAGGTGCGAGAAAAAAAGATTCAAAGTCTGAACTTTTGATAAAAGCAAAGGAGATGGGTCTGCAAGGTCTTTACAAACTCAAGAAAAAAGACTTGATTGAAGTTATCAAAAACCCTCCACCTCCTTGTGCAAGAAATATTGGTGTGAGAAAAAAGGTGATATTAACACCTGTAGACTTGTCAGAATCTGTAGAAGAGCTTGTCTTCCCTTCGATAAATAAAGCTTCACAACACTTCAACATAAATCCTGGAAGGTTTGGTTCGAAGGTCACCACAAAAAACGAAGAGATAAAAAGCACAATAGTTATCAATGGAATACGATACAATCTGAGATTTGAGAGTTATACGTTGAAAAAAGACCCACCACAAGCGGTAGCCCCAACAGCTACCCCACCAAAAGATTAATAGTAACCTAACAGGTTTTCTTCACTTGAATCGAGTGAGGAAAAAACATCTTAAAGAAAAAAAACTCATAATAATAGAGACAATATGGAGAAAATCAATCTTAATACAACTCTGTACAATCTCACTGTTGTACAACTGCGTCGATTTGCAAAGAATAGGCGTCTTCGCGGCTATTCTGACCTTCGAAAAGTTGAGCTTGTTGAGCTCATTATTGATGCAGGAGTAACAGATGAAGAGTGTAAAAAAGAAGTGGGGTATAAAGAAAGAATCTATGCTTACCAACTTTACAAATATGCAAAATATGCTGGCCTTCGTGGCTATTCAAAACTTCGAAAAGGTGAGCTTATCGAGCTCATTAAGGAAGAGATGGGAGTAACAACAGATGAAAAGATGATAAAAAAAATGTCTGAGAAGCGAGATTTGGTGGAACAAGTCGTACAGGCGTACAAAATTTTGTGGAGAGATAGAGTGAGAAAGAAATATAGCAGATGATGAAGAATGATGTGAACGACGTAAAGTTATAGGTTTTCTTCACTTGAATCGAGTGAGGAAAAACATCTTAAAGAAATAATTGTAAAAAAATAGAAAGAGTTTTTTTTTGAGATCAAAACTATATTTACATGTCTGCATAATGGAGAGACACACTGTTGCGCGACTCCGTCAAATTGCAAAAGAAAACGGCTTGCACGGCTACGCAAACCTTCGAAAAGATGAGCTTATCAAGCGCATCAAGCTTGCTCAGTCAAAACCAAAAAGCCCTCCCCTGCCCATAATTACACGAAAGAAGACAAAGGGGGCTCCTAGTACTGCTAGCAGTATTACAGAATTCCGTGAGATAAACAAGGGTCTTAGCAAAAGCGACTACGAGAAGCGACTACACGAGTTTATACAGTCAAGAAGAGCAAAAAAACGGATCCTTCATGGAAAGGTCCGTGCGAACCGGCTACTTGAGTCTATACAGTCAAAAAGAAGTGCTAAAAAAAAGGCTGTAAAGAGGGCTGGTTTCAAAGCTGTTGAAACAGCTTCTTCTCTGAAACAGTTTGCAAAGATGTACACGATCGATGGGATTCCAGTACTTTTTGGACCGAGAGATTATCTTGAGGTTGTGAGCCCCACCGTTATGAACCTTTTGAATACACAAAAAAATATCAAGATAAAGTTCATTTTTAGGTGTAATATGATGAGAAAAAGAAATGATGAGATTGAGCACATGACCGCATATCTTTCAACTCCTCAAAAGATTGTCTTTCAGGATACTGATCGAGAAGAACTTTATGAAGGGTGTGTGGAAGAAATGATAAAGAGTTTGGAGAATTTTGAAAAAAATGGGAGCGGGTGGATTTTTTATCGTGTTGAGGGTTTAGATCTGCATACGGTAAAATACACCCCTCTGAAAGGTTCCTCTTACATTAAGCTGCCAAAACATCTCGCAGATAAAAAAGCCATCATAAATATGGAGAACGAAGATACAGAGTGCTTCAAGTGGTGTGTTACGAGAGCTTTGAATCCTGTTCAAAGTAATCCTACTCGCATCACAAAGATTTTGAAAAAACAGGCAGAAAAACTCGTGTGGGGTGACATTAAGTTTCCAATGGAGGTGAAGAGCATTAGTCGCTTTGAAAAGTTAAATCCGGAGATCGGTGTCAACGTATACATGTATGAAAATGGGCTCAATCCCTTGAGAGTGAGCAGCAAAGGTCAGGGTCAAGGCCTTATTGATCTTCTTCTCATTCAAGATGGTGACAAAAAGCATTATTGCCTCATCAAGAATTTGAGTCGGCTCGTATCGAGTGAGTTGTCAAAGAGAAAAAACAAGAAGTTTATATGTAGGAGGTGTCTTAATTATTTTGGCTCTCAGCAACTTCTTGACACACATGACGCGCTGTGCCGATTTCATGAAGCCGTGAGAGAAAAGATGCCAAAAGAGGGGACTACCCTCTCTTTCAAAAACCATCACAAGAAGATGGACATGCCGTTTGTCATCTATGCCGATTTTGAATCAATCATTAAACTATTGCACTCAGCCCAACCTAATCCTAAAGAGTGTTACACAGAGAAAAAGTCTCAGCATATTCCGCTAAGCTTTTGTTATTATCTCAAGTGCACATTTGACAATAGTTATTCAAAACTGGTTGAATACACAGCAAAGTCTGAAGATGAAGATGTGGCGCAAATATTCGTTGAATCGCTTGAAGCAGAGGTTCAGGCTATTTACGAAGATCACCCTCCTAAAAAGATGATCTTCACAAAGAGTGATGCTGTCGAATTTGAAAATGCGACGTGTTGTTGGTTATGTGGAGAAGATTTTGAAGAGGGGAAGGACAAAGTGCGCGATCATTGCCATTACACCGGCAAATTTCGAGGGGCTGCACATAACAGCTGCAACCTAAAATTTCAGCGTCCCAAGTTTACACCTGTGGTGTTTCACAACTTGGCAAACTATGACGCTCATCTCTTCGTTAAAAATCTTGGTGTTTCAGAGGGTGAGATTGATTGTATACCAAACAACGAAGAGAAATACATCAGCTTCACAAAGCACGTTGTGGTTGGCAAGTTTTTCGATAAAAAGGAAGAAAAAGTCGTTGAGGTAAAGAGAGAGTTGAGGTTTATTGACAGCTTTAAATTCTTGGCTTCTAGTCTTGACACGCTTGTCGAAAACCTTGCTGCAAAGGGTAAGCCTTTCTTTCAAAATACAAGAAGATATTATACCGGTGAGAAGCTTAACCTGTTGATGAGAAAGGGTGTTTATCCTTATGAATGGATGGACTCGATACACAAGCTTGATGAGCCACAACTTCCACCAAAAGAAGCTTTCTTTTCCGTGTTAAGTGGTAAAGGCATCGAAGATGAAGACTATGCCCATGCTCAAAATGTATGGAGCGTCTTTGGATGTAAGACATTCCGAGATTACCACAATCTCTACAATCGAAGTGATGTTCTTCTACTAGCCGATGTGTTTGAAAACTTTCGAAAACTTTGCAAAAAGAACTATGATCTCGATCCTTGTTGGTACTTCACCGCACCGGGTTTGGCTTGGGATGCTTGTCTCAAGTTGACTAAGGTAAAACTTGAGTTGTTGACCGATATAAATATGTTACACATGTTTGAGGCCGGTATTCGCGGTGGGATTTCAATGATTTCGACAAGGCATGCAAAAGCCAACAACAAATACATGGAAGAAAAGTTTGATCCCACCCAACCTTCAAAGTTCATCGCGTATCTCGATGCAAACAACCTTTACGGTTGGGCGATGAGTAAGCGTCTGCCGACGGGAGGGTTTAAATGGGTCGATGAAAAAGACTTTGGAGAGTGGAAGAAATTCCCCTGCATTCTCGAAGTCGACCTGAAAGGCGTCAAAGAAGAGCTTCACGATCACTTCAACGAGTATGCACCCGCTCCTGAAAATCTGTTGATTGGAAAAGTGCATAAGCTGACCTGCACGTTAAACGAAAAGAAAAAGTACATCATTCATCACAAAGCGTTGAAGAAATACATGAGCCTTGGAATCGAGATCGGAAAGATTCATAGAATTATCAGGTTCGAAGAGAGTCCTTGGATGAGGAAGTACATCAATAAAAACACAAAATTGAGAGCAAAAGCAAAGAATGACTTTGAAAAAGACTTCTACAAGCTGATGAACAACGCTGTCTTTGGTAAAACCATGGAAAGCATTCGAAAACGTGTTGACGTGAGACTTGTCACCAGAGAAGAGAAGGCAAAGAAGTTGACAAACAAGGTCAACTTCAAACATTGTACGATCTTCTCTGAAGATCTCAGCGCAATACACATGGGAAAGACGCAGATTCTCTTCAATAAGCCTCTCTATCTCGGGATGAGCATCCTCGATATTAGTAAGACATTGATGTACGACTTTCACTATAACTACATTAAGCCTAAGTACCCAGAGGGTAAATCAAAGCTTCTTTTCACAGACACTGATAGTCTTTGTTATGAGATTCAGACTGAAGATTTCTACAAAAATATAAGTGATGATGTAGACCGTTTGTTTGACACGAGCAACATTAAAAAGGGGCATCCTTCTGGGATACCGACCGGCGTAAACAAAAAGGTGATTGGAATGTTTAAAGATGAAAAAGGTGGAAAGATCATTGAAGAGTTTGTCGGTCTGAGAGCTAAGCTGTACAGCTACAAAATGTTTGGTGATGAAGAAGAAGTGAAGAAGTGTAAGGGGATGAAGGGAGGAGTGGTAGATCGTACCATCAACTTCGATGACTACAAGAGATGTTTGTTTGGTGGTGGAAAACAACTACGAAAAATGAACACACTTCGGAGCCGAAAGCATGAGATGTATATGGAAGAGATCAATAAAGTTGCGCTATCCGCAGACGATGACAAGCGAATCATTTTACCAGACAAAATACACACACATGCGATAGGACACCACAAAGCCGTCACACAACACACTTAAAGGTAAATGGCACGCCGTCAAATTATTGTGCATGCACGATGATTTAACGTGAATACCACAAATAGACGATGGGAAAAGTGCAAAAATATAGTGCATGCACGATAATTTAACGTGATTTGGCAAATTGAGGTCGGGGAAAGTGCTAAAATAACGTGCATGCTCGATAATTTAACGTGAACGCTACAAACATACTTAAAGAATCTCTCGAAAGTGATAAATTATCGTGCATGCACGATAATTTAACGATAGAGCATAAAACAGGCCATGAAAGTGCTAAATTAACGAATATTCACGATAATTTGACGTAAATGCAGGGAAAATGAGCCAGAACCCGTCAAAGGGCTACTACTTGTTCACCAATCAGAGCGCACATTGTGTCTAAGTTATATCATAGCAAGTAAAAACCAATAAAAATGTGTGTATAATTCGGCTTTTCAAACAATACAAAACAACTGACGAGGGACTGTTGAATTAATGTGGTAGCATGTTATTGGTATTAGTGACCTGTATACACTCAGGGCTGGAAATCCTAGTAGTTTCCGTTCAAAATAAAGTGATCATAGTCGAACGCTAGAGAGAACCGAACATAGTCATCATCATCATCATCATCATCATCAT